TATATTCAAACTGTGTGCTACAATAACACACCTTTGGTCTGAAAGGTGTGTTTTTCCAAAAAGTGTGTTAGATGAATGGTGTGTTGCAAAACACACTGTCGTTTCGCACTGTGCTATTTAGCACACCTTGTGTGTTAATGAACACATTAAGGTGTGCTAAAATGTAATGATCATCAAGCTTAGCACACAACGTGTGCTGTTGTAACACATACAATGTGTTTAACAACACAAGTTGTGTGTTGTTAAGCACACCTATTTTTAAGAGTGTAGCCTCACACTTTATTGAAAATATCACGCACCCGATGAGTCAAAGCTGTTATATCGTGGCTGTTTGGCAGCATTTGAAAGCAGAAAATTTTGCATAAAATTAAGCAAATTTTGCGTAAAATTAAGCAAAATACAATCGTGAAAAAATATCGGTATTATCGGTATTTTTTTCCGGTATCGGTTTTCGGGTTTTTTTTCAAATACCGCAACAGCCTACCCCCAATATTTATTTCATAAAATGATTTCTTTTAGTATACTCAATTATTTTGACAATTTATTAAAATACAGATCTAAATGGTGAATTTTCCATTTTTTTGAAAACTGTGTCGCTCCATTTTTTTGAAAACCGTACGGCCTACTTTTACGCAAACGTGAATTACAATTGCAACTTTCATGCTTAATTTTGTCTGTTATCTGGGCGGTTTACTAGCTCGTCAAAACTTTAGGTATTTAAACGGATAACTGCATTGAAAAGTCCTTCAAAACAGTACATTTTTTAAGGATTCTTCAGTCAGGGTGGGGCAAAATTGCTTAAGGGCCCATTCTCTCCTTGTCCTCCCCCATGCAGGATAGTATACGATCGCCGAAGGTGTGAGGCGAGTACCGTAGGCTCGAGTTAGCTAGGGATGGTTTTAAAATTTGGGTCTCTGAAATAGCATTTCGTGCATTCTGAGGACACATTTTTTAAAAAAGTTTTAATCAGGTGAAATTTGTAATAAATTGCATGCTAAACATTCAAACACAACATAAGTTCAGTTCAAACACAACATAAGTTCAGTTCAAACACAACATAAGTTCAGTTACTAGTATGCTGCACCAACAAATTTAGTTTTTTAAACTTTTTTTCAATGTTAAACTCATTTACTCATACAAGTCCTAGGGACCTTGCTTTGGGGCAATAGGCCATTTTTTTTCAGTTGTGGGGCAGAGGAAGGGGCCCAGTGGGGCAAATTCCCCACCAGTCCACAGTATTAAAAAATGCCTTGCTTCAAAAATACCACATTACACTCATGGCATAAAATTGGATTATTACATGCACAGATAACAGAGAAAATTAAGCATGAATGTTGCCATTGTAATTCGCGTTTTCGTAAAAGTAGGCCGTACTGAAATTGTCAATCTCAACGGGAATTTTAGGTACACTTAAACCGATAACTGCATTGAAAAGCCCTGGAAAAACAGCACATTATAGTAGCATAAAATTGTATTACTACACACATAACAGAGAAAATTAAGCATGAATGTTGCCATTGTAATTCGCGTTTGCGTAAACGTAGGCCGTACTGAAATTGTCATATCTCAACGGGAATGTTACTTTTAGGACCGATAACTGCATTAAAAAGCCCTTGAAAAACAGCACATTATAGTGGCATAAAATTAAATTACTACATACACAGATAACAAAGAAAAATAAGCATGAAATTTGCAAAGGTTGGGATTTTAATTCTGCATGAAAAATACAAATACCACTCTACAGGGTGTATCATAAAAAACGGAGTCCTCGCTTCAAATATAAATTTCGAAACGAATATTAGAGTAAAACGTTCAGGTTTACATTTGTTTTAAAGCGTAGACATCCAGCTTTCCAACGATGGGTTGTTTCGTAAATTTAATCCAGTAGTTCGTGAATAATAGTATTTTAAGTGATTGCGATTGGAGAGTCAAAAATTTGAGATGCAATAACAAATCGGTACTTGATGAAAATAACTTATTTTGTCAACAAAACGTGCAAATTGAGGCATTTTGGCAATAGCTTGTAAAAACTAAGTAATAAAGGCTTCCAATACACTATTTTAAATTCACTTGCTGACTTCAAATGCGTTTATATTCCTAGCTGAAGCGTGTTTTAGCTTGCCGTCAACTTGCTAATTTATGTTTACATTGCGGCCCGATTCGATGGTGCTCGTTCGGACGATGCATGGACATAGATTGTTTTGATGATTTCTGGAAATAATTTAGGATTTTGAAATAAATAAAACAACCTAATCTCTTTTAGAATGTTTTTAACAAGTTTTTACTAGTTTTTCTGATGTGGCAACAAGAACATTAAAGTTTGAACAAGAAAATTCAAACATTGTAACCGATTATGGAATATCATAGTAAATTTGTATAATTAAGCGGCATCTAAAAATTATAGGTTTTACTAAATTTTCTCCTGTGCAGTTATTACTTGCACTAAAGACACGGATGACTATTTGTTCGAAAGATAAATGAGCAGGCCTTAAAATAAGCCTAAAACCGTTTTATTAAATATAGCAGGCCGATAGTTATTAAGTACAAAAGATGGACTCCGTTTTTTATGATACACCCTGTATATGCCTTCATATCCGCATTTAACCTCTCACCGTCCGTTCGCATTTTACCCTCTCACCCGTCTGCATTTTACACTCCTGTCCGTCCGTTTTTTACCCTCTCATCCATCCGTCTGCCGTCTATCCGTCTTAAAAAAAATTTCATTGTCTATACGACGCCCAACACCGTGCCCACGACGCACGACGCACGACGCACGACCCACGACGCACGACCCACCCACCCACCCACGCCATTTAGCCATCCTCAGACCGGACAGTCCGCACTCACTGTACAGTTGTGGTCTTGTGATAGTTTGAAGTATATGTGTAACCCTAGCTTTATTGTGCGCGAAACATGAGAATCTAATCATAAACTTTTTTTTAATCTTTCTATCCTACCGTTACTCTAATATCTGTGACATCAGAACGACAATAGTATGGAGACTTGCACCCATTTTTGGAACCTTTCCCCTATAGACCACAATATCAGCCAATAATTATTTTAAGAGCACACAGATTATTCAATGCTTTTAATTACACGACAACGATCACTATTAAGCCGGTTTTCCACTAGGCGGAATTGTGCGCGGAGCGGAATTTTTCTTTGTCTTGTGATTTCTCGGGTGGAACTAATTAGAAAAGACAAAGAAAAATTCCGCTCCGCGCGCAAAATCCGCCTAGTGGAAAACAGGCTTTAAAAACCAAGGATGGGTTGTGATTACGGTCAACAGCAAAGATATATATTTGTGACCGAAACAAGGATTTATTCATATTTACAATAATGACGTCACAACGATTAAGTCAGTGTTGGGCTTACTGTCAGTTACGATGGGTTAGGAGCTCACGAGATTGTATTTAAACTGGAGTGCGTTGTTAATATGGAAAGATGAGGCCGTTTTTTATATATCGTCAAATTAAGGAGCAAGTCAGCATTTATACTACTGATAAGTATACTAGTTATATACCTAACATATGTGGGGTGTCTAAAAAAAACTGCAACCGTTAAAATCAGATATATTTTTAGAATTTGCATGATTCAGCACTAATTGATCCCAAGGGTGCATAAACACAATAGAAAGGAATTTAATGCTTTGGAATGTACTGTACAAGGTGCCCCAAAAAACCTGAAAACTATTGAAATAACGTATTGTTAGAATTTGAATGCCCGATAGCACTAAGCTGAAGGCAAAGACGCGTACAATATTGATGGGGTGCATATATTAAATATTGACTTATTAAGAAATTATAATATCTTTGCAGGGTGTTAGCTAGCCCATATACTGTCCGTTTGACGGACTCTTCCCAATTGAAGTAGCTAAGGGGCTTTCCCAACTTGGTCTACTCGGTCTAAATTTATAACAAGGGACATATATCTTAGTACTTATTATAATCTCAGAAATGCTGATATAAATCTTTCAGTTCCTAAACCACACGTACTGAATATTTAAGAAAGAGTTTTGGATATAGCGGGGGCTGTTCTATGGAATAGTTTACCTACACAGGCAAAGCAAACAGAATCTTTAAATTAAGTAGCTTCAAAATTTGATAAAATAATGTGTGCAACAGAGTCAGGCATCGAATAGTCTTGATTTTTTGACTTTTTTATCTACGTATTTGTTATTCTGTGTTATTCTATTTCATATCTAATTTATATTAGTTTTTAGAATGTAATTTGTGTGACGCCCCTCATGAAAATCATTCATGGGTGATGAGCTGAGGGAAGCGTGGTTAAATAAAGTTCTACTATACTATACTATTTTCATTTTTTCTGATGAGAAAGTGCATTGCGTTTGATTTTATATTATTATATCAAAGAACGTTTTATTTACTTTTTCCCATTAACTATTTTCTCAAAATGTATCGTGTTTCATTCATATTGGGCGTGTTTCACTGAAATGAAATGTACAAAACAAAGTGTAATCGGTGTGCATCCGTGTTCATTCACCGGAAATGAAATATACAAAACGAAGTGCCATCGGGTGCATTTTTCAGTGTTCATTCACCGGAAATGGAATTTAAAAAACCAAGCTACCGTTGTTTGCATCTAAGGAGAAACACGTTGGAAAAAAAACACTATTTATTCCAGCACAAGGACTTTGATCGGTCAAAAAAACTTTCCCAAATTACGTTTAACGGACAAAACCTTTTTTCTGGCTAACACCCTGCTTTGTAAAGTGCACGATTTTCTGCTCTTGTGAATTTAGAGCAAGAAACTGTTTCTTTATGCATAAAAATTTACTTATGCCAAGCTTTTATGCACTTGTGATGGGTTCAGCAGAGTGCTGAGGCATTCAAATTCTAACAATACGTTATTTCAATACTCTTGGGGTTTTTTGGGCCACCCAACGTGGACAATTAAAACGTATTTTCAAATCCCAGGAGCATAATAAGTTGCACAGGCATTGAAATGCTAATTAGCAGTGGCTGTTATGCAAATAATAGGGTTGCAGTATTTTTAGACCCCCTGTATATGTTTGAGAAATTGATAATTTTGTAATAAAAAGTGATATTCTGGGAGGATTTTTTCAATTTTAAAATTATTGTGTTACCACGACAACTACTTTAAATACTTCATGTTCGGAAAATATAGTGGTTTTGTCACCAAGGCGAGGGTTTCTGCATGCATTTTTTATTTAAAGTGCTTTTCCCTACGCATATTCCACCCACAATGAAAGTCTCTTTCGTTCCAGTCTAATGCTCACTTATAATTTTTCATGTCATCTTTTACCAGTCTAATATCCTGGAAGCTCTCAGCGGTGTCGGAATTATTTCCGCCGAGCAGTTTTAATCTGATTTGAAGAGCATGCTGATATGACTGTAAGGCAGATTTGTAGTCTTTCATGGTATGTTTACTATGTTGTGTGACTCCAATGTTGCGATAAGTTTTAGCTGTATCAAGGTGATATTCTCCAAACAGTTTTAATCTGATTTGTAGTGCATGTTGATATGACTCTATTGCTGACTGATAGTTTTTCATCCCGTGTTGGGTGAGTCCAACGCTGTAATAATATCGAGCAGTGTCAGAATGATTTTCTCCGAACAGTTTCAATGCGAGTTGAAGAGCTTTTTGTTCTGACTCTAATGCTGACTTGTAATCTTTCAGTGCATGTTGTGTGACCCCAGTGTGGTTATAACTTTGAGCAGTGTCAGCATGATTTTCTCCAAACAATTTCAATCTGATTTGAAGCGATCTTTGATTCGACTGTAATGCTGACTTGTAATCTTTCAGCGCCTGTTGCATGGCTCCAAGGCTGTAATAACTTTGAGCAGTATCAGAATGGTTTTCTCCAAACAGTCTCAATCTGATTTGAAGGGCTTTATTCCCCGACTCTAATGCTGACTTGTAATCTTTTAGCGAATGTTGTGTAGCTCCAATGTCGTAATAACTTTGAGCAGTATCAGAATGGTTTTCCCCAAACAGTTTCAATCGGATTTGAAGAGCTTTTTGTTTCGACTCTAATGATGACTTGAAATCTTTCATTTCATGTTGTGTGATCCCAATGCTGTAATAACTATCAGCAGTATCACAATGATTTTCTCCAAACAGTTTCAATCTGATTTGAAGAGCTTTTTTTCCCGACTCTAATGCTGACTTGTAATCTTTCAGCGATTGTTGTGTAGCTCCAATGTTGTAATGACTTTGAGCAGTATCACAATGGTCTTCTCCAAGCAGGTTCAATCGGATTTGAAGAGCTTTTTGTTTCGACTCTAATGCTGGCATGTAATCTCTCATCTCATGTTGTGTGACGCCAATGCTGTAATAACTTTGGGCAGTATCCGAATAATTTTTTCCAAACAGTTTCAATCTGATTTGAAGAGCTTTCTGTTTCGATTCTAATGCTGATTTGTAATCTTTCTGCGCGTGTTGTGTAGCTCCAATGTTGTAATAACTTTGAGCAGTATCAGAATGATTTTTTCCAAAAAGCTTCAATCTGATTTCAAGAGCTTTTTGTTTCGATTCCAATGCTGACTTGTAATCTTTCTGTGCGTGTTGTGTAGCTCCAATGTTGTAATGACTTTGAGCGGTATCAGAATGATTTTCTCCAAACAGTTTCAATCTGATTTGGAGAGCTTTTTGCTTCGATTCTAATGCTGACTTGTAATCTCTCATCTCATGTTGTGTGACTCCAATGCTGCAGTAACTTTGAGCAGTGTCTGGATGAATCTCTCCATAAAGCCTTAATCTTTTTTCAAGAATTTTTTGTTTCGACGCCAATACTGTATCGTCTATTTTCATTTCCTCTGCTCTTTTTCTCTAAGAATGGAATGCATCGTGATATATATAGGCACACCATACACCATACAATCAATCAATCAATCATTGATTGATTGATTGTATGGTGTATCACACCATACACCATACACCATCTCTCGCCCGACTGAAAACACACTAGTAATTGGTAGCTAAGTGAGTGGTCATTATTTATGGGGAGGAGGGCTGGTAAATGGGAGGGGGCAAACGAAGTTTTACCCTTATAAATAGGGGGGGGGTCAAAAAAGTTTTAGCGCAGAGAAAGGGGGGGTCAAAAAAGTTTTTGAACTTAAATACCATGTCTAGAGTTCTGATTTCTATAATCACAAATAGCAAAAAGAAGACTCTGAAAATGCCATTTCCAACGATCTAGAGACTCAAAATTTTCCAAATTTCCCTCCTCGGCGCCAACCATGGTAGGGCCTCGTGGGAGTTGGGCCCATTAAGCTTAACAAGCTTCCTACCCCCTGAGTGACCCAGTTGTGGTCAGGACCGTGCGAAGTGGTTTTCGGTTGAGGGGGGGTGAAATAAAATATTTGGCCCCCCTCCAATTTGGGGGCCCCCTCAAAAAAATTTTCCAGAAACCAAAGAATTTTTCCGGAAAATACTGGGGAGGGGAGGAGGCCCTAAACTTTTTTCAAACACTAAGTTTACATAATGGGGGCTTAAATATAGTTTTGGAGACCTTTTTAGACCAATTTTCCAGAAAATTCCTTAAATATTTAACACGTTCCGCTTTTCAGGGCCCCCTTTCCGCAATTTGGGCTCCCTTTGGGGGGGGGGGGGTGATACACCCCTACACCCACCCAGGTGGCACGGCCCTGGTTGTGGTATTTACATAAACATACCATGCAAGTATATTTAACTGATCAGATCCTGTCTATCAAAGCACAATGTAACGCTGTATCTCCAAAAATCTGTTTCAGAAAATGCTCACATTTCAGTCCTAGGGGTGGGAAATACAAAACATTTTCTGGGGGAGAATGCCCCCAGACCCCCTACTAGTACATTCGATGACATACCAAACTTTTT